GGGGGAGGCGGGAGGTACCATTGAGGGGAGTGGGAGGTACCACTGAGGGAAATGGGGGAGGCGGGAGGTACCACTGAGGGGAGTGGGAGGTACCACTGAGAGAAATGGGGGGAGATGGGAGGTACCACTGAGGGGAGATGGGATATACTACTGAGAGAGACGGGGGGAGGCGGGAGGTACCACTGAGGGGAGATGGGAGGTACCACTGAGGGGAGTGGGAGGTACCACTGAGAGAAATGGGGGGAGGCGGGAGGTACCATTGAGGGGAGATGGGAGATACCACTGAGAGAAATGGGGGGAGGCGGGAGGTACCACTGAGGGGAGTGGGAGATACCACTGAGAGAGACGGGGGGAGGCGGGAGGTACCACTGAGGGGAGATAGGAGATACCACTGAGAGAAATGGGGGGAGGCAGCTGACATGGGAGGTACCACTTTGGGCGCAGGGGGGAGTGTGTGGGGCGTAACACAGCATGGGGAGGGGGGGAACCCTTAAGTGGGTCGTACCACTGAGGGGAGGGGGGATGGGCTGTACCACTGTGCGGGGAGAGGGGGGGAACATTCTCCCAGGGCTGTACCATGATAGGGATGGGGGTGTCCTCAAGGCCACCCCTGGGTGCCACCCCCAGGGTGTCCCCATTGTCACCACAGAGCCCTCGTGTCCCAGGTCACCTTTATTGCCCCATTTTGGGGTGAAAAGGGACAATTTTGGGTCCGGCCAGCGCCGCTCCGGTGACCCCGAGGATGGGGACGAGGTCCCGAAGTGTCCCCGAAAAGAGATTTGGGGGCGCCAAGGTTCCAAATTTACCCCCAAAATAGAATCAGGGGGTCCCAAAGTGTCCCCAAAACCAGATTTGGGGGGTCCCCAAATGTTCCCGAAAATGGACTGCCAATCCCAAAAATGGAGGTGTCCCCAAAAAATAAGCTGGGTTCCCAAAATGTCCCCAAAAATGGATTTTGGGGGTCCCAGGATTCCAAATTTAACTCCAAAAATGGATTTGGGGCATCCCAAAATGTCCCCAGGACTGGATCTGGGAACCACAAAGTCCCCCCCCCCAAAAATCCATCCTGGGGGTCCCAAATTTGGAGTCCCGGGCAGGTAAAAGCAGAAAATGAAATGAAATGAAATGAAATGAAATAAAATAAAATAAAATAAAATAAAATAAATTAAAAGCAGGGGGTTTTTGGGGTGCCCCCCCGGTGTCCCTTCAGTTCACCAGGAGCGCGTTGTCCTGCGCGGGGGCCCTGTGGGGACACAATTTTGGGGATTTTTAGCGGATTTTGGGGATTTTGGGGGGCAGGACCCCAGGGAAACCCCCCCCGGATCCCAAAGATTCCAGGAGGGGAGGGGGGGACCCCAAAATCCCGGGGAGAAGCTGGATTTGAGGTCATTTTGGTGTCATTTGGGGATGGATTTTGGGGTCATTTGGGGTCATTTTAGGACTGGATTCTTGGGTCATTTGGGGGCCAAATTTTGGGGTCATTTGGGGCATTTGGGGCTCTATTTAGGAGTCATTTTAGGCTGGATTTTGGGGTTATTTAGGGTCATTTTGGGGTTGGATTTTGAGGTCATATGGGGTCATTTGGGGCTGGATTTTGGGGTCATTT